TGCTCTAACATCCTACCTTTTGAGGATATGGATTTCATGGCTCATTCCAAATAGATTTCTTCAAATCTCCAAATTAATCCTTTAATTATTTTTTTATTTTATTTTTTCATAAAGTGAAGTTTCATTCAAAAGTCAACGGAAAACATGAAAAACCATATAAGAAAGAGCAACATAATACAACAAATTTAATCATTAGGGGGCAAGGAATCCCATATCTAGACGGTACCATAACTAGTTAAAGAATAGGCCGATTAACCCATTTGAGTAGTGCACCCTCGAGTTGGCCGTCAACTCTTCAACAACCCACACCAAATATTTTATAGATTCAGTGGGGAGAGAGAGAGAGATCGAAAGTAGGGTGTATGCATAGGGTGGGGGGAGGAGGCTATTGGGCAATGTGGAAGAAATTGTGTTGGAAGGGGTGGGGGACGACAAGTAGGTTAGTTTTTTTTAATAAAATATTTTAATTTTTTAATTTTGTTAGTTTTAAAAATGTTAAGTTTTTTAGTTATAGTGAATCGACGGAATTGTCCTTAAACTTAACGGAAAGTCTAATGAAGTTATACATAAACAGTACATTGCAACACTCTAAAGTTTATGTGGTTAATAACAAATATTAAAAGTTCAAGTGGTAATAGTGCACATGCCTAAAAGTTCAAGTGGTATTTATGAAAATTTCCCGAAAGAAAAAAATCAATGAGTTTTTTTTATTTTTTTTGTCGGAATTAGAGTTCATTGGAAACTTACAAAATGGCACAAATATACAACATACAAGTGAGACTCAACAAACCGAGCTTAGTATCAACGCAACAAGGCCAGAAGGCAAAATGCCCACAACAAGCATAAGGCCATCAATGTGACAACAAAAGAACTTGGGTTCCCTATACAACAAAAAAAAAATTGGTTCCCTTGGGTTTCTAGTGAAGTCTAAGTTTTTTGGTGTGATGGATCTGGTTATACTTTGGAAGGTTTTTTTACTGTATTGGTTTGGGCTTATTGTTCCAGTGAGGAGCTGATGTTCTCAAAAAAAGCTATAAGCTACTTGGGCTTAAACCTGCCATATGCAACCACCTAGAAGTGTAGCCCAAACACACTTCCACCTCCGACAAAGGAAGATAGTGGAGTATGAAAATGATAATGTGTAATGGAAGATAGGAATACTTTTTCCAGTCTTACTATTGTCACCATCTGAAAACCATTGAAAGTTCAAAAGTTTATTCCCATGAAAAGGTTACTGGAAAGTTTTGATAGCAAGTTAGAAATCATCATTTCCGTCTTCATCGTTCTCTTCGGAGAGAATGATAAGCATATCCGACAATCTTTAGTATCGAATCGCATATTTATTTATCTGAAATGAATATTGAAATGATTTTGATTTCTGACTCTCTTTGTTTACTAACATATAGGTATTATAATTATTACGAAACTATCATATTGCATCTTTAATTTTATTTTTTTTGTCATTCGTGATCCTCGAGGTTAGTATGTGTGATCACAAATAGTCTCTACCGTTAGATTCTGTCAAAAACTTCGTTAGTTTGCTGACGTAGCATATATATATATATATATATCACAAAACATCCCTAAGAAACACGCACCTATAACAAATGGTCCATACGAAATTTTTTATTTTTTTCATTTAAAATTCATAAAATTCTAGTTTTCTTTTTTTAATTATTTAAAAATATATATTGTATTTTAAATACATGTGACACTATATTTTTGAAGATGTTGGCTCCACATATATGTCACATCAACAAACTAATGAAGTTTTTTAAAAATAATTTTAAATTCATAAAATTTAAAAATGAAAAAAATCATTTATAGAAGGATTTTAACCTTGAGGACCATTTATGAATCCTAAATCCTTTGTTTTTTAATTTTTTACTTTTATGAATTTTAAATTATTTTTAAAAAAAATCCAATAGTTTGTTGATGTGGCATAGATGTGGAGCCTACATCTACAATAATATGGTGTCACGCGTATTTATAATAGAATATATATTTTTAAATAATTTAAAATTCATAAAATTTTAAAAGGAAAACCAAAATTTTATTAATTTTAAATTAAAAAAATCAAAATTTTCATGAAGACCATTTGTGATAGGTGCATTAACATTAATGATGTTTTGTGAAATATATATGACACGTTATCAAACTAATGGAATTTTTTACAGAACCGAAAAGCAGGGACCATTTGTGATTACACATAATAACCTTAATGACCATAAATTATGTATGTTCCACGTTAAAATCCGTTTTGTGATATTAAGTCTTACTATAATTCATAAATTTATGTATATTCCACGTTAAAAACCGTAATATAATACCCTTAAAATTATTAATTACAGATTGAATCGAGCGAGTACTTGTCTCATACTTCTCCCATTCAAAGTAACTAGAAACCAAATCAAATAATTGAAGATTTGGCCGACCGCCATCCAGATTCTCCGCACTTAATTCATCCCATTAACACTCGAATAAAAAAAATTACAGTACATTAAATAATAAATTAAGCTCACCACCGGAAAGTGTCCCTACTGGTTGGTGGCAAAATATATTTTCATTAATTAATTAGATTCTAAACTCATAAATCTCAAAGATTCCCCACCGATTGGTGCCAAGACATTTTCAATGCCACGCAGACGGTCCAATGATTGAAAAGATAAGCATAGATATAATAACCCAATCAAAAAAATTTCAAATAAGCATAAACATGAACGGCCAAATCATATATACCAGTTACTTGGTATTGAAATTACTAGATTAACCTCGACTTCGTTTCAAATTATTACACTTGTATTCAATACTGTACGGGCATTATTGAAAAAGTAAATTTAGATTTTAATCACAAATTTTTTTTTCATTTTTGAAAAAAATCAATAAGGACAATTTTTTTCATTTTAGCTTCTTTTAAAATTTCTCTCTCTTTTTTCTTTTTCGAAGTCTCCGAAAAAGTAAATTAAACCCTTCGACCCTCATATAATAATTCCGGGAATTAAAAAACATAAACCCTCGTATAATAATTACCGTGCCAATAAAAATAAATTAGTAAAATTTACCACACAATTTATTTACGTACGAACGAATGCAGAGGTTTTAACATGATGGAATTTACTGATCTAATAGATCTGAAATATTAGCTTTATTAATTTTATATTTTAAAACAGGTCAATTGAAATTTGCTTGCATTTTGTAGAGGAAAATTTAAAATGAAAGAACACAGGAGATATGCGAACGAAGAACTATACTTCATTTCTCAAACACCATTTCTTTGGAAACAAAAATACAGGAAAAAGTAACATAGTCATCGATCAAAATTATCGAGCGCAAAGAACACACCACCATCAAACTAGAGAGATTCAGAGAACCAGATCCAGAAACCATCTAAACCCTAAAACATACCAAAAAAGCAACACTAAATTCCCAAACCCTAACCCTAAAATTTAACTCCTCCAGCTGCCACCTTCAGAGCCACCGCTGCCCCTGGAATAGCGAGCGCCGCCGCCCTCACCACCTCCATAACCACCTTCACGA